AAGTCCAACCTATTGTGTGTATGCATTTATGAGCTGATGTGTGCGTGTGTACGAGTCCATGTGTGATTTTTCTCTTAGCTATACCTGTACCCCTGAATGTTCTGGTCTCCCAGGAACTCGTTCAGGAGTCTCTTGAATGATTCCACACTCTTAGCTGAAATCACTTCCTGTGGCAGCGAGTTCCAGACCTTAACCGCTCTAACTGTGAAGAACCCCTTGTGCCCTGTGTGGTGAAATGTTTTTTCCACCAAATTTTAGCTTGTGCCCTCTGGTCTTTGTTGCAGAGCTGACAGTAAACAGTTTGTTACTGAGGTTGCTGTCACCCTTGAATAGTTTATACATAAAAATCATGTCCCCCCTTAATCTCCTAACCTCCAACGAGAACATATTTAATTTTAACAACCTTGTTTCATAGTTCAGATCCTCGAACCCCTTAATGAGTTTGGTTGCCCTCCTCTGGACTTTTTCCAGCTCAAGGACATCCTTTCTGAGTATTGGTGACCAAAACTGGACCGCATACTCCAGATGTGGCCGAACCAGTGATCTATAAAGAGGCAAAATTATAGACTTGTCTCTGCAATACATCCCCTTCTTAATGCAAGACAGGACTCTGCTAGCTTTGTTTACAGCAGCCTGGCACTGCGAGCTGTTCTTCAATCTGCGGTCTATAATGACCCCCAAATCCTTTTCCGTTTCCGACTTTCCTAGTTGCATACCCATGAGTGTATGGTCCATTTGCCTATTTTTAGCTCTAAGGTGCATTACCTTACATTTATCAACATTGAACTTCATCTGCCACACATTTGCCCACTCCCCGATATTCTACAGGTCCTCCTGTAATGTTACAATGTCTAAATCCGTGTCTACTACCCTCCCAATTTTCGTATCATCAGCAAACACTGAGATATGACTTCTCACTCCCTCCCCTATATCATTAATGAACAGGTTAAAAAGCATGGGACCCAGCACTGAACCCTGGGGTACGCCACTCACGAACCTCCACCCAGTCTGAGAAGGTGCCATTAACTGATACTCTTTGTACACGTTCCATCAGCCAGTTTTCTATCCACGTGCACAATAGTTCATCTATGCCCATACCCCTTAGCTTGTATAACAAGCGTTTATGTGGCACAGTATCAAATGCTTTGGCAAAGTCCAGATATACTACGTCCATTGTCCTCCCACCATCCAGATCTCTACTTACCTCTTCATAAAAGGTCAGCAGGTTGGTCTGGAAAGAACGATCCTTCCTAAATCCGTGCTGCACATCACTTATTATACTATGATCCCGGACGAATTCCACTAAGTAATCCTTAATAATTCCCTCTAACAGTTTACATACTATGCATGTCAGACTAACTGGTCTATAGTTCTCCGGTTGGCATTTTGACCCTTTTTTGAATATAGGTACCACATTAGCCTTTCACCAATCTCCTGGCACTATACCAGCCATTATGGATTCCTTAAAAATGAGAAACAATGGTCTTGTTATCTCCTTGTTCAATTATTTGAGTACATTGGGGATGTAGATTATCAGGTCCTAATGCTTTACTGGCATTTAGTAATTTAAGCCTATGTTGTATCCCCGATTCAGTCAACCATTCCGGTGTATTTCCTGTTAAATTATGTGTTTTATCATGACTGAAGGTGACTAGAGAAAAAAAATTTGGGGTTCTTTTTACTAACTTCGGCGATATATTTTTCACATTCAATTTTAGCTGCCCGTACTGCCAGTTCACATATTTTATTAAGTTCTTTGTAGTTTTGGAATGCCGATACTGTCCCCTCTGTTTTATACTTATTAAATGCTAGTTTTTTTTCTTTAATGTATTTACTTTGCCATATTGGCTTTGTTTTCGATCTTTTGCTTTTGTTCCCCAGCGGTATACACCTGAAAAACAGTCCCACTTCTGGTCCAAGTTTAGCTTATCAAATAAGTTATCCCAATCGATTTCACCCACTATATTACGTAGTTTATCAAAGTTCGCCTTCCTGAAGTTTAGGCTTCTTGTCCGCCCATCCCCCTTCCCTTTCTTGTAACCAATATCGAAAGCAATCACCTTGTGATCACTATTGCCCAATGTCTCCCCGATTACAACATCCTCAATTAGCTCCGTGTTGTTGGTGATGATCAGATCTAGGATTGCATTTTCCCTGGTCGGGACCTCAACCATCTGATCCATAAAATTGTCTCGCAACATATTAAGAAAACGGGCTGCCTTTGCCGAGTTCGAAGTTTCATTAGCCCAGTTGACATTTGGGTAATTGAAGTCTCCAATTATCACAACATTACCCTCTTTCCCCGCTATTTCTATTTGCGATATATGATAGTTATATGATTGCAAGTTCACAAATGTAACCACCATTCTTTTAGGGATAAGCTTATTTCTAATCACCTCCCTACTCTCTGTATTCTTGTGTAAAAACATACCTGCAATCTACGTGCACGGCATGCTGGAACTCAGCAATCATATTCCACTGGGAACTCTTCTTCAACGTCACATATGCGCTCTGTAGCCCCATAGGCAGAAGCGGAAATCAATTAGAACCAATGGGACTTGCAGGACGCATGCAGGATGTTGAACAGTATGTCTCCAGTGGTCACAGTTTTATGGGAATCCAATTGTTGACTTCCAGGAAGGCATGCAGCAGCCTTTGTATGGGAGAAGCAGTGTTTCTACTCAAAATAAAAGGCAATTTTGTAAACATATTCACATGGGCCTATACAATAAAGAAAAGCACAAGTGTACTTTTAAAACATTAGCGATTTAACATGCTCAAGGGCAAGCAAGAACTTGGAAAATATCTCTTACTTCTGATTTTTTTTCCTTGTAATTTATCATAGCTCATCACAATTTAAAAATAAATAAAAATTAAAAGCCTGGATCCTGAAATAGAGGACGCTGAATACTCATCTCTCTGATGACTGGTACATCCGAACTCTAAAGAGCCCCCCAGCACAAACTTCAGCATTCACCTTTGGGGGGGGTGGAATGCCTGTGCCCCCCAACTGCACTTACTGGTTCCTCCCGCCACCCCCC